AGAGAGAGAGAGAGAGATTTCGGTTCATGAAAGCATCAGCGAACCTTCCAGGAAGCTGCGGTGCTTATCAGTACTGATCGGCGGTCGGCCTCCTCTCACAATCAATACTTAGCTTAATAATGAGGCTGTATTCCCGTGATTTTTTTCTTTTGACGATCATTATTATTTATTGTTAATTCGTCTTTTTCCCCTCCTTTCTTTCTGTCCCCATTCCCCCGGGGTGATTTCCGGAAGAAAGTTAACCTCAATCGGGACATTTATTTGCGATTTTGAAAACGTGTAGAATTTTTTTTGCAAGACGGCACATATATATGCGGAGGTTTAAAAATTTTCTTTCAACTCATTCTTTCTTCTCTTAATTCTTCTTCTTTTTTTTGCCTCTTTTTTTCTCTTTTCGTCTACCCCTCTTTTGCCGGGTCATTTATTCATTGCTTTCGCGCCACAGCCATTGTCGATCTCGTCGCTCGGACGTCCTGCTCTGCGTCGAGGACGACAAGCGCATTGTGCACGAGCGCCATTCTCGCGTGACATTTGACACGACGATAAATAACGCAATCTTGTAATCGCACTCGACATGAATCGTGATCCACACTAGCGAGAGAGAAAGAGATCCAAATATCTGTCGAGACAGTCCTTTTGGTAGGGACGCTTAACGGAAATTCGATTGAAGGCGACAAATAAAAAAAAGAATCTCGTCAACAATCTGCAATTTGTCTTTTATTCACTAGAATTTACTGTACAGTGATTTTTTCGGCAAACGAACGATTTTTGCTAGATGCGCACAGAAAATAAACAGAAAGTTTACGCAAAGGGCGCAAGCGTAGATGCGCATAGGTTTTAAGTGCGCAAGCGTCGATGCGCATTTGTTTCAAGTGCGCAAGCGTAGATGCGCGCGCACCTCAACTCAGTCCGGTTCTACAATAAACTGACAATAAGGAAATTCCTTGAATTTAAATCTTCAAACTCAATTACCAAGCGGCGGGAAAAAATAGACGAAAGGAGCTGATAATGACAACAGCCTCATATGTATCCTTCTCGTGTACAAATGATCTCATGAAGAAGCAACTTATTCGCGGCGTTGCACCATGTTTTAACACGTTTCGCTTTCCGCCTCTCCCCTAGATTCTTCTCTACAACAGTTTTCATCTTCTCTTTCTCTCTATTTCACTCTTGCAGTTGATTCTCTCTCTCGGCCTTTGGTGTATATACTCATCACGTGCCTTATACATGCTCTCGGTTCACTCGCGATGCCGCTCTTATCTTGAAAGTGCATCATTACTCAGCGACCAATGCCGGGGACCACTAAAAAATCATCAGCAACATTCGCCCATTACCGTCCCACCGGCACCCTCCGGCATGCACTGCAATACGATTACCTTTCAGTGGCAATCGTGAAGGTGACCAGGATATTTCTCCTTCCGGCGAGGTTCGACCTTCGACGCGCGTTCCATACCACCATAAGATCGATGGTTCCGACTTAATGAAACTTTTGCTTCGTGCGACTTTACTTTCGCATTCATCAACTGCGAGATTCGATGGTACAAGGGGTTTACACGTACCGATCCATTGTTGGTCATTTTGCCAGTCACATATTATCGACTTTATAATTTGTTTACGCTAATTAAGCCAACTACCGTTAGGTGAGATTATCTCCCTCGGGTTTTTGTTAATTGGTAATTGTAAATTGGTATAGTATATAATTTCTCTTAGCGTTAACTTCTTGGGAATTACAATTGGCTGCCGAGGGACCGTTTTGTCCCTTGGCGGTCAATTGTAGAACCGGCCTAACAAAGTTGTGCGCGCATCTGCTTAGGTAGTTTCAAGTCAACTATTACTTTCCGAAAAAATATTCTTAGGGCCGGTTTTACAACTGTATTAACTGTAGTTTAAGTCGATGAACCAAGTATGAACGCATAGTCCTCTACAGCCTATTGTAGAAGCGGCCTAACGAAGTTGCGCGCGCATCTGCCCACACTTTTTCTAGTAAATTAGTACTTTCCATAAAAAAATGAATTCTTTTAGTGCTGACCTACTAGAAACGCTAAATTGTCCCTCGGTAGTCTATTGTAGAACCAGCCTAACAAAGCTGCGCGCGCATCTGCGCACAAAACCCCAAGTAAACTATTACTTTCCACAAACTAAACTTTTATTCAGTTTACACTTTTATTTAGTTCTAAAAATAAAAACACGCACCTACTAACCATTTTGATTTTACGAAAATACAAACAAACTTTTGGCAAAAATACATGATTAATGAATGCAGAAAAATGATAAAAGTTACAACAGACCACCATGATGCGAAAGACGTCTATATATACTAAATATATTTTCAAACTTGAAGTAATTGAGTCTAATGGATCATTGTTAATGATAGTTGCTGACGACTTATAACGAACCCCGAAATACTTCTCGCACCACAAATATAAATGTACGCAATAATAAAGTCCCAAAGTACAGACAATATTTCTTTTTGCACTCTCGCGCAGTTTTGAAGAGGAAGAAAAATCTCGTTCTCCCTCATCGCATATGATTCAGAAAGATGCATGATTGATTATGCACGTCTCTTTTGAGTCTCGAGACGTAGAAATAAATGATAAAGGGTGACCGCACTCTCTCTCTCTCTCTCTCTCTCTTTTTCTCTCTCAATGAAAGCGGCCTGATTCGAAATATGCGCTCTGAAAAAAGAGGACCAAAAAAAATGACAATCTAATAAATCGTTTTCGTTCATAAGAATGGAATTGACAAAAGTATTCTGATGTGTGAATCTTCAATTTAACGAGTCTTTTAACCATCATATGGATCGTTTATCAATTCTGATAAGAGGAATTTATATAGTTATTAACAGAAACGAAACGCTTTTTTCGGTTTGGGATAATTTTACCTTTCTTGCTTTTCGTTTGAGGGTAAAGTTCGAGGAGTGCGCAAATAGTTTAGAGGTTATGATATTGCGCGCGCATTTTGTAGTTGAGCGTCGCGTCCTTTCGCTATTTTCGGACGCGTGCGCATTCGAGTCGATGCGTGCGCAACTATTTTAGCGCTAGTGTGGCGATGATGCGCGCGCATTCAGTGCAATGCGTGCGCAGCTATTTTAATCCTATAGTGTAATGTGCGCACGCATCCGTATTTAAGCGTCATTATATTACCAATGCGCGCGCATTTCTTTCATCATTTTAATATTTTTCAAAAACAAAAACAACCAATTTTATTTTTGTTGTCAGTATTATTATTTATAAATTCAAGGAACATTCATTTATTGTACAGTGTTAAATTCTAAATTAACACTAAATAAATAATATTTGTAATAAATTTCTTACATTTTGTATAATAATCTTAAAAAGTATTGTGAAAAATTTTCCAATTTTAATCTTTATGAAGACTTTTCTCGAAGGGCTCAAATGTAATAATTTATAATAAGAAAGAAAAACGAATAATTTATGTCAAATAATATTTCGAGACATAAAAATTCCACTAAGAAAGAATTCTCTCTAATATTTTTTCTGTCAATTAAAAAATTGTTTGAACGACGTTCTGGTTAATAAATATTTCAGTCAATGAAAATATCGAGAAATTAAAATTCAATCTAATGTAAATAACTAGGGTCAATAAAAACACTGATAATTGTCACTGCGGTGACATTAAATTTTACATAAAAGAAAATGTGATTAAAAAGATATTTTGCAGTATATAACAATTGTGACAAATAAATTGAGTTTCAAATGTAAATTCTAATGAATTATATAGTCATATAAATGTCTTCTCGATAAAATTGAAATTATATAACATGAAAATTAGGGTAAAAAAATATTTACTCATATATAAAAATTTACACTCATTTATATTCTGCTTGTTAAAAAACCGATTGAATGCAAATTTGGACTTATGAAAACTTTATGAAATAGAAATATTCATAAATTCTAATTCGATTAAATAAAAATTATTGAATAGAAAAAATGTAATAAAAATAATTTAGTAATTAATAAAAAAATAATTTAGTTATCATGTTAAGACATTTTTCTCGGTATTATTTTATTCCCCGTATATTCTATTCTCCATTATTTTCTCCTCTATGCAGTTTTGAAATTAAAATGAGTTATTTATTTTCCTTTCTGTTTAGGTTAATATTGATAACTTCCCTTTTGTGCCTTTTTGTCTAGTTTCCTTTGTTCGACGGGAATTTAGAATTTGTTGTTGATGTGTGGGATACCAATTTGTGTGTGATGTTGAATGAATGAGAAAAGTTGCGGGATAAGGTGAAGGTGGTGGTTTTTAACCGCGATCTCTCATGCATATGAGACCCTATATATATATACACACTATGCCTATGGGGCCCCGCAAGGACCTCGTATTGGTCGTGATGGGATGAGATGCGTAAAAGATGAGAAGTCGAGGGCGTGGCTGCCTTCGGAGTTTCGAGTTGCACACAAGCCACAAAGCAAAAGCCGCTGTAAAAATCCAGGGGTCCAAAACTGTGTAATGCATATCGCTCTCACATATGCTCTCCTTCTGACACAATCTCTCTCTTTCTTTCTCTAACTCAACGGCGGCACTTCAATTCACAAATATAAAACACCGGAAAAACTATGGATTACAACGAAATTCTTTTTTTTCCGAAACTATTTTGAGTTATTACTGATTTTCTATTTCACTGAATTTTATTCTATATTACTTTTCTTTTTTTTTATCAGATAATTTGGAAATTCCGAGTAGCAAACAATGAGCTAATTTAGAAAATAGAATTTGGCGGCCATGTTGGATCCACCATTTTGAATGTTTCAACTTAAGAAAAGCGGATTAATCAAGAAATGAAACAGTGACAGTGAAAAATTAAAATGCGGTGAAAATAAAAATCAAATCAAGTTGCGTAATAAATCCCCTAAATTGAACTTTAACGTTCACTGTGAAAAAAAATTGAATATTCAAATAAATATTCAAATAATTACAATGAATAATGAATAAATTTTAATTATTTCTTCATTTATATATAACGATCGACGAATTTCTCTACAGTTTATTATCAGTTTAGTTTTACTTTGTATTTAGTTTGTTTCAAATTTTTATAAAATCTAAGAAAATAATTACATATTTGCACTAAAGAAATAAAAATGATTAAAGAAGCAGATGATAGTGTAAAAGTAACAGAAAAGGAGGAAAATATTCAATTTTCATTTACCAATGAGTGGAATACGTGGATAAAACATTTGAATTGGCCATTTGCCATTTATCATGTGATTGTTAACATTGTTGCAGTTTATGGAGCTATTACATTTCCATATTCAACTCATAAATTGACAGCATTATGGAGTAAAGATTCATGAAAATTACTAAAAATTTATTAGAAAAAATTTAATTTTCGATGTTAAGATACGCTAATTATTTTTGTTTTGTTGTATAGTTATTATATACTATTTGTATACTGGTTTGGGAGTAACTGCTGGAGCTCATCGTTTATGGACGCATCGATCTTACAAAGCTAAATTGCCGCTTAGAATATTTTTTGGTTCTGGTTACTATGGATCAGGCATGGTAGGCAAATATTTAATTTATAATATGTCTAAACGGTTTAGGGCAAATTTTACAAAACTCGATTAAAGGTAATCTGTAATTAAAGCTGATTAAATTTATTATTGTGTATGTTTTAAGTTCAAACTTCGACGGTGGATTAAATTGCACAGAATGCATCATAAATATTCCGATACTGATGCCGATCCTCACAATATAAATCGTGGTTTTTGGTTTGCACACATCGGTTGGTTTCTGTTACCGAAGCATCCGGAATTTATGAAAAAATTAAAAGAAATTGATATGTCTGACATTAATGCTGATTCAGTAGTCACTTTTGGAGATAAGTAAGTACCATCTATAGATACGTTACACGGATTTATTATTAACAGTGAAATATTAAGTTAACAATAGAAATAAAATACTTTTTTAATAACTAAGCTACGGCAGCTCTTATATTAACAGCAAATTGATAATGATTGTCATTTAAATTTTTCTTGAAGGCATTTTGTGATTCTGACAATACTCATGACGTTTATATTACCAACACTCGTACCAGTATATTTATGGAATGAAAGTTGGTATTGGGCTATAATTTCGCAATGTTTCATTCGCTATATTTTTTTAATACATAATCAATGTTTGGTTAACAGTTTTGCCCATTTATATGGCGACAAACCTTACGATCGGTAAAAATTTACTATATAATTAAATGTTCTAAATATTCTATATTTTTACCTGTAACACTTAAAATGAATGGAATTTTTACTCTTACAAATGACAGAGTAAATCTTAATATTTATGGAGAAAACTTTTATATACTACATAGTAAATTTGCTAAATAGAAGTAACAATACTCGGTACAATATAAATACATTAAACTAAATACACTAACAATAGTGCAATTCACTAAAAGTAAATTATAGAAGAAATTTGTCAAATTTACTTAAATTGTATGGGAAAATTTACTCCAAAAATAATAATATTTGCCAAAAGTTCCTGAAAATTCAGTTTTAACGTTATAAATAGAAAAAACCTAATATTTTTTCCCCTTTCCTTTTTTAATTCCTTTTATAAAGAGTATAATTTTTATATTCCGGACTCGAAAAATATCTTGAAAGAAAAGCGTTTTAGAGGAAAATTTTAAATACAAAAGTTGTTAGATTCCAAAAAAATTTAGAATTTCCTTAATCCAACAACTTTTGTATTTAAAATTTTTCTCTAAAACGCTTTTCTTTCAAGATATTTTTCGAGTCCGGAACATAAAAATAGTATTCTTGCAAAAATTACAAATCATGTATGACAGAAAAAATGAATTATGATTAACAGGTCAATAGTTCCGGTTGACTCTAAATTGGTTCAAATATTATCAACTGGAGAAGGTTGGCATAATTTTCATCACGTTTTCCCATGGGATTATCGTGCTGGAGAAATTGCAAAAATTGACTTCAATTTCACAATGTATGTGATTGATCAATTTAAAAAAATTGGATGGGCCTATGATTGTAAAACAGCAAGTAGTGAACTCATTCAAAAAGTAGCCCAAAATAGGGGTGATAAATCATATTAATTCTTTACTCACTGTCGCAATAATATTGTAAGTAAACAAAGTTATAATTAGGTGTATAACAATAAAAAGTAATGTAAAAAAAGAAATTAAATGTAAAATAAAAAAAATACAAAATAATAAAAAAATATGAAATAATAAAAAATGATCAAACCTTTATTCAATCAATGTATTTTTAAATACACACTGTTAAAAATTTTTGTAGGATTTTTCAGAAACAAGCAACGGAAGTTTTATGCAGTTACATGTTACGTAAAATTTAGAAACGTTTAATTATTTTCAGATACATAGGACTGAACAAATATTTAGTTCAATTCACCAAAAATTTTGTTACCGTTTCGTAATTTTCAGTAACGCGTAACAGCATAAAACTTCCGTTGCCATTTTCTGAAAATTTTGTTACAGTTTCGTAATTTTTCGTAACATGTCATAGCTTGACATTTTTTTTATTTTTTCTGAAAATTTTGCTACAGTTTTGTTCAGTTTTGATTATTAAACAATATGTAACTAAAATGTTACATATTGTTTAATAATCAGAACTAAACAAAAATGAAAAAATATTTTCAATTACACTAATCAGTGATAGCTAGAACATAATTTACATTAAATATTAAAATGCAAAGTATAATTTAAAATGTACAACTTCATTATTTCCAAATTTGTATTAAAATGTTTTCTATTCCACTAGATTTTCAGTACAAAAATTATTTAAACTTAAAAATAATTAATAATAATCTTAATGTTTAAAAATGATTTATTTACGGTTTATAAATAAATTTGATTAAAAAATATCTGGTAAATTATATTAATAATATTTATTTCTTACTTTTTATACACAAAACTTCAATCAAATAATATTAATTATTCATTTATTAATAATTACATTTCATAAATATAATTCAATAAATAGTTTGAAACAAAAGTTTTCTTTGACAAAATGTATCGTTACTTTGATTGCAGTATACTCTATAATATTGTTTTAATAGTTTGGAAGGATTTAACGCTTATCACTCAATACAGTTTAAGAAACAACCTATAAAAATTAATTTATTTACCAGAATACAAAAGAGTTAACTTATTTGAATTTTTAATGTCTACTGTGAGAAAAGTAATTGGATATGCGAATAAATATTCAAATACATTGAATAGTGAATAAATTTTAATTAATTCTTCATTAATGTAAACGATAAACGATTGCCTTCAGTGCATTGTCAGTTTAGTTTTACTTTGTGTTCAGTTTGTTTCGATAGTTTATAAAATATATGAAAATATTAATATATTTGCGCTAAATAAATAAAAATGATTAGAGAAGATAAAATTTTAAAAGTAACAAAAAATGGGACGAATGCTAAATTTTTGTTTGCCAATGAATGGAACATTTGGATAAAACATTTGAATTGGTCATTTGTAATTTTCCATGTGATTATTCACATTGTTGCAATTAATGGAATTTTTACATTTCCATATTTAACTCATAAATTAACAGCATTATGGAGTAAATAATCATCAAAATTATTAAAGTTTAGAGAAAATTTTATTTTTTAAGATAAAGATTATCTTTGTTTTGTTGTATAGTACTTATAAACTATTTCCTGACTGGTTTTGGAATAAGTGGTGGAGCTCATCGTTATTGGTCGCATCGATCTTACAAAGCTAAATTTATTACCTCTAAGAATATTTTTAGCTACTTGTTACTATGGCAATGGCATGGTAAAGAAATATTTATAATTTGTCAAAATAGTTAAGGGACAATTCTACTGATTATCTTTTAATTGGGGTTACAGTTAATAATTATGTATACCTAATCCGAAAAATTAGTATTTTAAGTTTAATTAAAAATTTAAAATTGTGAATGTTGAAAGTTCAAACTTCGACGATGGATTAAAGTGCACAGAATGCATCATAAATATTCCGATACTGATGCCGATCCTCACAACATAAATCGTGGTTTTTGGTTTGCACACATTGGTTGGTTTCTGTTACCGAAGCATCCGGAATTTATGAAAAAATTAAATGAAATTGATATGTCTGACATTAATGCCGATTCAGTAGTCACTTTTTGGAGATAAGTAAGTAACATCTTTAGATAAGTTACTTGTACACGGAAAAAATTAAGATTCACATGCTGTATCAATAAAAAAATCTGTTAAATTAATTAACTTCACTAATATAACTAATATAAAAATTAAAGGAAATTAATATGTATGAAGCGAATTGAAGAATAAAATTTTTTTTTAGGAATACATCATAAGGTACAGATGCTGACCCAGAAATTTCTCCGTATATTTATCATTAATACAATAAAAACAATATAATTAAGCTTCAGTGCTCTTATTTTAATAGCAAATTGAAAGAAAATTATAGACAGCAGGGAAAAATTGATAATTATGGTCATATTAATTTTTTGAAGGCATTTTCTGATTTTAACAATTCTCCTGACTTTTTTAATACCAACACTTGTACCAATATATTTATGGAATGAAAGTTGGTATTGGGCTATTGTACTTTTCTATAAATTATAGCAAAATTCACTAAAAGTAAAATATTGTAAAAATTTCTAAAATTTACCAAAATTGTAAGGGAAAATTTGCTCCAAAAATAGTAAAAGTTGACAAAAAATCCAGAAATTTATGTTTAATTTTATAAATGTATCAAAAAACATATTTCTTTCGTGTAGGTTCTATTATTCTAATAAAAATTACAAATCATTTTTGATAGAAAAAAATATTTATTATCAACAGATCAATAAGAGCTGTTAACAATAAATTCATTGAAATATTGGCAACTGGAGAAGGTTTGCATAATTTTCATCACGTTTTTCCATAGGACTATCGTACTGGAGAAATTTCAAAAATTGACTTCAATTTCACATTGTATGTAATAAATCAATTTAAAAAAATTGGATGGGCCTATGATTGTAAAGTAGCAAGTAAGGAACTTATTTTAAAAGTAGCCGAAACAAGAGGCGACAAAAGTTATATATATTAATTGTGAGTTGGAGTAATTAAGTAATTTACTTAATTGTATAAGTAATTCAGTTGCTGGACATGTAGCAATGGCTGGATATCAACATATAATAATTTATAGAAAGTTACTGTATTTTTTTTATTTTTCATACATTATTGTAAACACAAATCTACAGAATAAGAATTAATTAAGAATTACTTACTATTAATTATAATTAATCATAATTAATCATAATTTTTGTTTAATTACTGTCATAATAGTAATAAGATTTTTTATTTCGTTATATGCAGTTTGTAAATTTTTTTTCCATTTTTACTGCGAATAAAATAAGTATTTTAAATTTTAATAAAAATCAAGAAAATTCTGTTCAAGACTAATTTATTAAATAATTATTAAATTTATTTACACAAATGCAGAAATGCTTTTTTTGTGGTTTATTATCGATGTAATATGTCTTGGAAAATAAATCCAAGATATCATCGCATTAGGTTGTCAACAAGGGTCCACTGCGTAAACGCATCTATACTTAATCGACTTGGCACGACAAGCATACACTTGGCTCGTTCATAGAATTGTATTTAACTTGAGGTCTCATGCTCATTTAATGAGCCACATATCAGATACATAGGCATTAGTAGATAGAAAAGACGAAGGGACGTACTTCTTTAGGATTGGAATTTTCTAAAAAAAAAAAAATTTCATCAGGAAAATCAAAGGTATGCCTTTTGCCATTGACCGCCAATGTGATTTCTCACACGGATTTATATACATTTATATAATATACTTGATTTATTTTCACTAGATTATTATTAGTCACATATAAAATGCTAATTTATTTATTTTTAAGTCCAACATATAGGTGGAAAGAATATAATAATTATTACAATCAATATAATTTTTTTTCTTGTTTCGAAAAGAGTTTATCATTGACAAATGCAAAAATTTTAATGAAAGAGAAAAAAAAGGAAAGAAATACAGACAATTGTCAATGATTAAAATTGGAATTATCGTAAAACTGAATTATACTTAAATGACTTATGGTTTACTGGGGTAAAAGCATGAATATTTATGATATAATTTAATCCCAAATCGTTGTATTTTAAATGCGCTTTTGAATATGCTTTGTTTCATGAGAAATTTAATTGAATTATTAACCCTATCATTATAAGCTTCCTTTTCAACTGTGAAAATTTATAGCGTTACATAATATATATATAGAAATAAACTATTCGTAAATATGTGTATCTCTACTCTTTTAATTTTAATTATATATGCCACATGAAACCGAATATAATGGAATCTAACAATAATAATTCTATATATATATACATATATGGGTAAATAAATACTTAAAAGAGAAATTCATAATCCAGTCATTTGAATCTTTATATTATTATTTTTAATTCTATGGGGTTTTATATTTATCAAATTTCACATTAGGAGGACTTTACTTTTAATTTCATTAATGAAAAAATTTATTTGTTTTATATTATACTATAATTTATAATAACTATTGTAATATTAAATTGTATGTAATATTAAATGTTAAATATCAATATTAAATTATAATAAATATTGCTATAAAAAATAGTACTAAAAACATTTTTTTATTGTAATTCAATAGTATAATTTTATGGCTTCAAAAAATATTGAATTAATCATAAATTATACTATTCAATTCCACACGGAGAGAAAATTTTGTAAAAGTATTTTACAATTTGGCGAAAAAGTGCAACAAACCGAAATTTTGACATAGAAACTACTAAACAGTGAAAGAAATAATATGAAATTTAGTTGTTATATTAAATTTCAACTTAAATTCTTATAATTGATATAATTATGCTAAATTTTACATAAATTTTTTTTAAAGTTTAGTATTTTTTATATCAAAATTTCACTTTGTCGCATTTTTGCTCCAATTTGTGAAATACTTTTACGAAATTTATTATAATTTTCTCATCGTGCAATGAAAAAATGATTTTAGACAATTTCAAAATTGTAAATTAAAATTTATTAACTATTAATTAAAAATGTAAATTACAATTTATTATAATATTATATTAAAAATAAAAATTAAAAATTTTATAAAATAAAATTGTAATCTATATTAATAATCGTTGTATTCCGGTAATCTGTTCGCAGTTCGAAGTTAGTTGTTGTTTCCTTTTTTGTTTCCTAACTTTAAAAATAATTTTTCTTTTAAATAATTTCCATTTTTAAAATTAATTTATTGAAAAATCATCGAATTGTTGCAAAAAATTTTATCAAAAAATTTGATAATAATAGAATTCCTTCGAAAAATTTTATTCTTTACGAAAATAATTGAATTCTCAAGAAGAAATTTGCTAATTTTTTTTTTTAAATAATAGTTTCTTTAAAAATTTTAATTAAAAATCTTAAAAATAATTGAATTTTATGAACAAATTATTTTAAGTTTATAAAATAATCGTGTTTATTAATAATTGAAATTAAACATTTAATTATTAAATTTTATTAAAATTTTTGAAAATATAATTGAATTGTTTCGAAGGATTTATTAAAAGTTTAAAAAATAATTGAATTTTTCCAAAGAATTTTACTATTTACAAATATAATTAAATTTTTTTTGAAGAATTTATTAAAATTTTAGAAAATAATTGAATTCTTTGAAATTCTTGAATTGAATTGAATTCTTGAATTGAAATTCAATTCTTTCGTGAAATTGTTTTGAATATAATTGAATTTTTGCAAAGAATTTTACTATTTATGAATATAATTGAATTGTATCGAAGGATTTCTAAAATTTTAGGAAATAATGGAATTTTTTCGAAAAATATTATTAAAAATTTAAAAAAATTGAATTGTTTCGAAGGATTTATTAAAAGTTTAAAAAATAATTGAATTTTAGCAAATAATTTTACTATTTACAAATGTAATTGAATTTTTTCGAAGAATTTATTAAAATTTTAGAAAATAATTGAATCCTTTGAAATTTTTTATAGCAAATTAAGAAAAAAAATTGAATTCTTTCGTGAAATTGTTTTGAATATAATTGAATTTTTACACAGAATTTTAAATCGAATAAAGAAAAAATTGAATTCTTTAGTGACATTTTTTTTGAAAATAATTAAATTTTCGCAAAGATTTTATATCTAATAAAGAAAAAATTAAATTCTTTAGTGACATTTTTTTTTTGAAAATAATTGAATTTTTGCAAAGATGTTATTATTTTAAAAAATAATTGAATTATTTCGAAGTATTTATTTAAATTTTTGAAATTATTAAAGAAGAATAATTAATTAGTAAATTAGTTAATAATTTAATTTTTTGAAAATTTGAGTCCGATATTATTCAAAAATTCATATTTGAATAATATTGTAGCAAATAATATATAAATTCATATATTTAATAGAAAGAATTAGAGAATAAATATTCCCGAATTAAAGGTACACAAAATAGAAATAATAATAAATAAAAGATACGATAAATATGTATATAATGGAAAAATTATTAATTTCGAATAATTTTTTGTAATTGACCATTAAATTTGGTATTTATAAATAATTAATTGTCTCTAAACGAGTTTTAAAAGTACGTCAACAAAATTATATTCCATATCGGAAATTGCAAATGTTCAATTGCGCTTCATTAAATTCATTTTAAATATTATGGTAAAATTATGATAATTTCCGTCAATTTGTATTTTTTCCCTCTCATTCTACAAGCTGAATATTAGAATCTCATTAAGGAGTCATATTCGTACTTTGAACAAACATTATATATTGTGTTGGAATTATGTTGCAAATAGTTGGGTGTTTTTTTTTGGTTTCCTTTTTGAATACTAAAAAATGCAATAAAGAATGAACCTGTTACAATTATTATAAAATGTGTATTTCCCGGCATTCATGTTTTATAGTTTCCTTATAACATAACTGTTAAACAGTTAGCGGTACTGTGTAGTGACATTTGTAATAAAGACCGGGTTTAGTTAATTCATTAACCTGTTTTGTAAATTAAAAATTTGTTATAATTTCTGTAAAAATTTTTGAATTAATAAATATCAAGTTTTAATATAGAAATAACGATTTTTGTATAATAATAGTTTAATTGTATTTTTGTAATTCTATTGTAATTGTATTTTTGTAATAAAATTTAGTATAATATAATTCTAATATAGGTAAGTATTATTATTATTAATTAATCTATAACTAAAAAATAGAAATAGAAAAATAATAAATTTTTAATTTTATTACAATTGGAGTCGGTATTACCTACTTCGTGAAAATAATTAATATTCGATTTTGTTTTAATAGATCTATTAAAAAAAGATCGAATATTAATTAATTTTATGAAAAAAGTAATATTTACATTTAATTATTCCATTACGTCTAGTTAACAATTTTTTGCATAAACGGACCTTGTCTTCGTTACATGCGTAAATAGCTTGACACTACTTGCTTCGCTTAATTCGCTTACTTGACTTCTTGATTGATTATTGATCACTATTTCGTAAAGTTGAATTCAGTATTATTTTAGATCTACTATATTTAGTAGTGTAAAATTATCATTATTATTATTATTCTCAATACTAGAAGAGTGACTAAAAGTTAAAAAAAAATTATAACTAATATCCAAAAAAATGAATTCGGAAAATAAGGATACAACAGCAAGTGAAGATAAAGTTAGAATGAAATCGGAACTTTCATTAAAAGACGAGTGGAACATTCAGATAAAAGATTTTAATTGGGCCTTTGTTATTTTTCACCTGATTTCTCACATCATTGCTGTTTATGGGATTTTAACATTTCCCTATTTGAGTCACAAATTGACAGCTCTGTGGTGTACGGTTATGTATAATTTATTATATAAATTGTTTTCTTGATAAATTTCACACAAATCAATTATTTGTCTATTGTTATAATTATAATTTCCTTTGATAGTTTTGTAGATCTGAGTGTTTGGATAATAGTTATCATCCCTTGTGTTTAAATTTATAATTTATACCTAACTATAAATGAAAAAAGTAAATTTCTATTGATTAATTAATTAATTAATTAATCTATTAATTTTATTAATATAATAATTATTAATATTTGTATATATTTGCTTTAGTTTACGCTTATTATGTGTTTGTTCTTTGCGGACAACTTGCTGGTGCGCATCGTCTTTGGTCGCATCGTTCCTACAAAGCAAAATTACCTCTTAGAATAATACTTGCTTGCGCGTACTATGGTGCAGGACATGTAAGTATATTTATTATTGTAAATTATTTAAATTGTTTTAAATTTTTAATAAGCTTAATCATAATTTTTATGTGGTTATAGTTTAAACTGCGTCATTGGGTTAAAGTGCATAGATTGCATCATAAATACACAGACACGGATGCCGATCCCCACAATATAAATCGTGGATTTTGGTTTGCACACATGGGATGGTATCTATTACCCAAACATCCAGAGGTTTTGAAACGATTAAAGGAAATTGATATGAGTGACATTAATGCCGACCCAGTAGTGAATTTTGGCGATAAGTAATTTTTTTTTCAATTATAAAAATAATTTTTCAAATTTAAAAAAAATTTGTTGTTTTGAAGATATTGGTACTTTTTGGCAACAGTCAAAGGACATTAATCTAGATTTAGAAAGATTTCTATTGTTATTATTTTAAAGGCACTTATTTCTTATTTCTTAAAGGCACTTCGTAATTGTGACACTGTTAATGGCATTTATATTACCAACCCTTGTGCCAGTATTCTTTTGGAATGAAAGTTGGTACTGGGCAATTATAACACAATGCTTCATTCGTTACGAAGCAGTGGTACACGCAATTTCTTCTATTAATAGTTTTTCACATATGTTTGGATATAAACCATACGACAGGTAAATTATATTTTCAATAAAATAGTCTTTTTTAATGTTTTTTTTCTAATTTAAAAAAAAAATTTTTTTTTATAAAATAATTTTTTTTTAGAAAAATAAAGGCAACTAATAATTTAATTGTTCAATTTATCGTCAATGGCGAGGGTTGGCATAATTTTCATCATGTATTCCCATGGGACTATCGTACAGGAGAAATTGCATATATTGACTATAATGTGGTTTTACATTTTATTAATCTATTCAAAAAAATTGGATGGGCCTACGATTGTAAACAAGCAAGTGATGAGTTAATTCGAAAAGTTACTGAGAAAAGAAGCGATAAGAGTAATCCATTAGGAATAACAGAAGTGTCAGAAGGGGAAAATTAAAATTTTAAAGTTTTTTTTTTACTAATTATTGTATTTTTTGTATAATAAACTATAATTTCTCCCTTTCTTTAGGGATTTTATACAAAATGGTAATATCAGCATATTTAGTATAGTAATTCTTCCCTACTATTTATGTATGGAACATTTAACACTAATTTTCTAACTAAAACAAGAATTAATCCTTAATAAAATGTTTATTAATAAGTTATAGGCACAGGTTTAACATACAATGTTAAGTTTAATAACAAAATAAACATATTGTTTATCTTATAAACAAACAATTTCATAACCATTGTTTTCTTCAAGTATAACAATTTTTCCTTTGAATTGTATAAACAAAATTTTTTCTATTTGTAAAACACATTTTTTGTGTACAATAAAATTCGGTAATTAATTATTGAGATACGCATTTAAGATAAATTTTACAATTATCATATTATTATCTACCATGATTATGTATATAATTTAGCATCTCCCAACAATCCAAAGTTCTTTGGTTATAGCTTGAGGATATATACACATATACAATAAAATACATATCGCGTGCATTTAGATCAACTTCCCCCATCTATTAATTGTCCGACACAACGTGGGCGGCTTCCGCACTCGACTAATTGCACTCATTGGAAGGTGTATATTGTGTTGTATAAACGTGCAGACGTTTACGTTTTGTTTCATTGCGAGAATTTATATATATTGTAAGGGACCGAAATAATCATCATTTCCTCGCAAGACGACATCGTCAACTACAAACTTATGCTCATAAATTAAATTAATGACTTTAATTTCATTTCGAGTCCACAATCTCACCAGGAGACATTGTCAAACCTGTCAACAAAATTACCAGACAATCATATTATGTTCTCTATTCGTAATCTCTAAATTAATGACGACGTTTTGTTTGCAAGAAAAAAAAAGAGGAAGACGAAAGCTGGAGAAATTTTTTTTTTTCCTCTTTTAGAAGTAATTTAATCATCAACGGTAATGATGATTTTGGAAGACTATTTTTATGCTATTGAATAATGTATTGAATTTTTGGTTGTACTGTATTAATAATCAAAATACGGATGTTGTAACAGAAATTCAAAACTTTCTTATTTTTAATTTTATACAAATGGTAGTTCCAAAAATACTTTCTTGAATGGTTGCTACAACAGTAATAATGGTTCACTACTTACAAATGTTAATAACAAAGGATGTATTTTTATCAACCAATAAGCAACATATGGCAAATGGAAATTTTGAAGATTGGAATGGAAATTTTGTGTTAAAACTTAAAACACAAAAAATACCGAAACCTAATTTTGCGTGACCACTATAGTTTACTTTCGTGGCTTCTTCTTTTCTCCTGCTTCGAACATCATCTTCTTCTATTTTTTTTCATCGTCATCAATAATTGGACACACCACTTTGTGAGCTAGTGCAAAAAATAATAACGTAGCGTTAAAATTATTAGAAGCTACGGTTCTTAACCTGACTCGACTGCCCGGAATTGACCTTCGCTAATTCATAGAAGTGCATGACGCGTAACGCAATACAATGTAGCATGAAATACTTGTTTGAAACCTTTGAACTTTTCTCACGTTATATAATCATAGTCAAACAATGCTTGACATTGAAGAGACGTCGACTTTCCTTCTCTTTCTCTCTCTTGGAAGATTTTTACATTCTAACGACACCCATTATAATGTCATATAATCAAATTGACCCGCTCTTCTTTGAATTTTAATTTTTCTCAAAGAGTTTCAAACGCCATTCAATTAATCGAAAAGTACTTTATTAAAAAAAGCTCTTATCAATTTTTTCACTCTTATCATTTAATCTTATCATTTACTCTTGTCATCTACTCTTATATCATCTTTTCAATATCCTTATTCGTGGTGAGGAATTTAATTTTAGTAGCACTTGAGAAAAAAAATTCATTTTCCTTTAAAAAGATTCTCTCTGCAGCAATTGTGACATTTTAAAAAATGTTCTTATGGAAGGTATAGAGTTTTATGGAGAGAGAGAGAGAGAGAATATTTATAGAAAGCTTAACTATAGAAGTTAATCTGCCGCTCATTAAAAGCTTTCTTTTGATTTCGATACGAGTGTGTGTTTGTATTTATAAGCCCAGAAGTGATATCAGGTTCAGGAAGAAAAGTATAGAAAAGGCAGGTAAACGAGCAAACGATTCGTCGTCCTTGATAGCGGTTACGAGCGCGTGGCTTTAATTGCTTTTTATCGAAATCACGACGAAACGAGATACTCATTGAGATCGAACGAGACATACGAGAATCACGTATATATATTTACTTAATTCATTGAATTCTTTTACCGCAACACACAAACACACAAATACACTTGGAAGCTAAAATGCAAAATCTCTTCCTGCTTCATTAGCAGGTTTGCCACAAAAATTTAATTTTACTTTTTCCCTGACTATTCCATGATTTCCAGACAAAATTTTTGACTCTTTCCCTGTCCCTTGAGATTTAGGATCATAATAATTTAAGATTATTCTACTGCAGAAATTTTATTATTTATGAAAATAATGGAATTATTTCGAAGAAATTTCTAAAAAAAAATTTGTAAATATAATAGAATTCCTGACAAATTTTTATTAATTATTAAAATAATTGTATTCCTTTCTAAGTTTACAATATTTTTTTCTTATTTTAAAATTTCTCAGGTACAAAGGAACAGAAAGTAAAGAAAAATATTTTTCACAACGACAGTTAAACTCAAATTGCTTATATATATATTTAAAGAAATCCCAATATTTAAGATATTTTTCTTCAAGAGTTGACATTAATGAGCCGAAATTTCTTCGAAAAAGAAGAATTGAAAAATTCGTTTATAAAGAATACACCTGGTCGAACTTTTTGAAAATTGTTTACAATAGACATAATTTATAAATCGATTCTGTGCGGGAGTTAATGAATATAATGTATACTTAAAAATCGAAGTGACAATATATAGTCCTTTAAAAATAAATACAATTCTGATTTTGAGAAAAGACATTATTTTTCCCTTTTATGTTACGTCGAAAGAAGAAAAGGAAAAACTTTTTGAAAATCAACAATGATCTTGGTTGTTTAGTGCGGTGAGAGGGAACAAACTATCTCGGTATATCAATCAAGGTGTGGGTATTTAGAGTGTTTTCGACAAACGAGCACAAATCCTCCCATTTCAAGGTTCGGCGACCACTCGAACTATAGAAACTACTTGACTTTTGTTGTTCGAGTGAATCGAACTCGTAAAGGAAATTCGTTCCGGATGAAAAGCTCAAAGACTCAAAAGGACAGGGCAAACAGATATAGTGAGGGTGCTGGCAGGAGAAAAAGAGAGGAAGGAGAATAATCATAGTTTCGAGTGTCGTCAATGATGACTGCCAAAAACTATATACTATATAGTGGGGAGACACTCACTCAGTGTGCATGCAATCCGGAAGTGACTGGACTTCAACCCGAATCAATAAATTCGAATGATAGAGCGATGAAAATAAGTTGGCGGGAACATTTTTCAAAAGGGCAATTTTCATGATGCTGGGAAAAAAGGCAAAATTCTGAAAACAGGATGTTGCATTGTTTGGAAAAATTAATCGTGTTTCGAAATAAAACTAAGGGTAGAGGAAGAGAAATCAAAGATATATTTGAAATTTTATCCGTAACTATACTCGAAATTTCTCTCGTGAGAAAATATAAAATTTAACGATATTTTATTTGTTCTGATTATTTTTGTTCTCATGAAATTGCAATTTTTCAATCTCCTTTGTTTTTCGTCAAATCTTGACAATATTATTTATATTTTCTTCTTTTATTTTTATTTCAAAGATAAAATGGATCAAAAAAGAAAAAATTTTAAAAATAAGAAATTAAACAAAGCAGCAATAAAAAAAAGTTGTCAAGAAATCAAGGAGTCGAAGAAAAATTGATTGAAAAAGAAAGAGCAGAAGAAAACTTAAATGCAATGAGAAAAATAAAAGAAGAAAGAAGTTGACAAACGAAGTAACTATAAAAAACGAAAAAAAAACGGGAGAAGAAATAAAAAATATAGTAATAGAAATAAAAGAATAAATAAAAAAGAAATTAATAAGAGACGATATAAGAGAAATGAAGAAAGTAAAAAATGTAGAATATGGGAAAAATAAATTAAGAGAATAAAGTAAACAAACCAAAGCTAAACATAGAAGGAAAAATTAAGGACTTTTTCCTAATTTTATCAAAAATTATCAAAATCAAAAATTCTTGAGAAATTTCTTTATTGATGAAAAGAGTTGAATTCTTACGAAGATTTTTACAATAAATTTTTTAAATAATTGAATTCTGTTTGAAAATTTTATGAAAATGTAGTAGATATTGAAAATCATTGAATTGTGAGAAGGTTTTAAAAATATTTAAATTTTACAAAAAATTCTATTAAAATTTTTGAGAATAATTAAATGTCTGTGTGGTATTTTAATAAGTTTTTTGAAAATAATTGAATTCTTAAAAAGCATTTTATTATTTATGAAAATAATAAAATTGTATTCTTGCAAACGATTTTAATATAAGTTTTTAAAATAATTAAATTTACAAGAAAAAAATTATTACTTTTAAAAATAATTGAATTGTTGTGATAAATATTGTTATTTTTGAAAATAATTGAATTTTGCAAAGAATTTTATTAAAATGCCTGAAAATAATTGAATTTTCGGGAATAATTTTGTTATTTATCGACACAATTGAATTCTTTCGAAGAGATATTTATGTAAATAATTGAATTCTTAAGAAGAATTTTTTTGAAATCTAAAAGAATAATTGAATTATTTCAAAAAAAATTTAATTCGAATTGTTTTTAAAATAACTGATTTCTATCGAACAATTTTATTCAAATATTTGAAAATTATTGAATTCTTGTAAAAAATTCTAATATTTTTGTAAATAATTGAATAAAATAATTGAATTCTTCCGAAGAATTTAAAAAAAAAAATTTTTAAATAATTGATTTTTTCAAGGAATTGAAATTTAATTTTTAATAACAATTACATTTTTTGTGCAACTCCTGTAAAATTGCATTAAAAATAATTGAAATCCTGTGAAGAATTTTATTATTATTTGTGAAAATAATTGAATAGTTGCAAAGAATTTTATTATTTGTCAAAATAATTGAATAGTTGCAAAGAGTTTTATTAAAATTCCAAAAAAAGAAAAAGAAAAAAAAAAAAGAAAAAGAGTTTAATTAAAATTAATTTTTTTTTCTGAGAAGAATTTTATTATTTCTATGAAAAATTTTGTTATTTTTAAAAATAATTGAATTATTGATAAGAATTTTACA